GCCTTCTACGGAATGCAGATGTGATTTGGCAAAGAGGATGGACCTTAACACCTACCTGCTGCACATTGGGCAGCAGAGTCCAATACAGTGACTGAGCTGTCAAAGAGCTGTCAGCTCTCTGCCTCTGCTCAGGATAGTGTGACAGCCAACCACAATGGTCACGTGACCAGCCTACCCTTCCTGCCACCAGCCGTAAACACCCTGACACAAGTTAGCCTGCAGTTTCTTGTTTGTGTATTCTTACCTCCTTGTTGCAGTGCTGTTCCTGATCCCTTTCACATGTGTGCTTTGTCTGTGCTCACCTAAGGGTGTTGTCTGCTGTTCTCCGGGTCTTATTTCCTTCCCTTCCATCACTTCCTGGCCTGCCTCCTTGTTTTCCTGCCTATATAAGAAATGCTCAGTCTAGGCCACTTTGCCTGAGCAACTTCCTAGTTGTCAGAGCTCCTGTGTGTTGCTATTGCCTGTATCCTGCATTGACTACTTGTGTACCAACCCCGGCTTCGTTCTCTGACTGTGCTTGTTTTACGCTCATCCTGACCTCTGCTAGTCTATCGGATTTCTGTTTGTCTCCTCCCATTGTACTTTGCTCCCATGAGCAGTCTTCTCATCCTCAGCTGGGCATACCTGGGGGCGCGACCTGGTCCCAGCTTGCTGCAAGTCCATCCCCACCATCAGGGGCTCTGGTGAAGAAGCAGGCTGGGGCATAGACTCCGTGCCCTGGGGGACCCAAAGTTGAGTATCTACAAGGGCTCACTACCACAGGTGCTGACAGACCCTTTTAAAGGGATAGCTGGGTGGAAAGGTGTTCAATCAAACCCTTTCTTTAGAAACAGTGCTGCCATGGTGATGACATGGCTTTGTGGCATGCCATCACTATCAGATGGCTTTGTTTGTCAAGTTTGTTAAGCTCGTCTTGCAGGGCCACATAGCAAAATAAACAGGCTAAGTCAATGAGATTTTGAGCTTGCTGCAAGTCCATCCCCACCATCAGGGGCTCTGGTGAAGAAGCAGTCTGGGGCTAAGACTCCGTGCCCTGGGGGACCCCAAGTTGAGTATCTACAAGGGCTCACTACCACAGGTGCTGACAGACCCTTTTACAGGGATAGCTGGGTGGAAAGGTGTTCAGTCGAAGCCTTTCTTTAGAAACAGTGCTGTCATGGTGATGACATGGCTTTGTTTATTATTGAAGGCATGCCATCACTATCAGATGGCTTTGTTTGTCAAGTTTGTTAAGCTCGTCTTGCAGGGCCACATAGCAAAATAAACAGCCAAAGTCAATGAGATTTTGAGCTTGCTGCAAGTCCATCCCCACCATCAGGGGCTCTGGTGAAGAAGCAGGCTAGGGCTTAGACTCCGCCCCCAAAATAAACAGGCTAAGTCAATGAGATTTTGACGAAAGCGAAACCTATAATGGTCTACTCATGCCTATTAACCATTCCTCAACACATCAATCTCTTCACCCTCCTCAACTCTTCATAATTAGTGGGCAGTAAGCTGTTGAACAGTTGAGTTTAACATTTTTCTAGAGGACCCTAAAATGGCATCTTCCACCAACTTCCACCAACATAAAAAAAAAACATACATAAAAAAGCACTCCAAATTCCAACTTACGGCAGAAAGCATCAGATCTCCAGTCATTAAGTGGAACGTAAGCAGCCTGGCAGGCAGCCACATAGGCAGCTATGGCACTGCAGAACGAGGACGGATGGCCGCGGTATTGGCATGCGTCATAAATGCAATCCTCGAAGAATGGTTTAGGGTCAATAACAGAGAAACAGTTAGCAAAAGGTCCAGTTGACTTGGCGATGAGCCCACAATATTGCTCCCCAGCATAATGCTGTTTCTGGCTGTCCGTACATTGAGTACAGTTGATGGTACATGCCGGAATACAGCCAGGAGTACTAGCAACCCTCCAGCTGTTGCCAAACTGAACCGCATCTGATGTTGAACTTTTATCTTTCAAAATGAAGTCATCGCTGGGCTTTTTGTTGTAGTTGCCGCATAAACCATTGAGAAAGCCAGAGTAAGTCACTGGGACAGTCACCGCTGCGTTATTGTTCCAGTCGAAGGTCACGCTGACACCAAAATCGGTCCTAATAACTCCAATGTTTCCACTAATGTACGAGACAATCTTATTGCCTTGGTAGATAAACGGTAGGGAACAGGCAAGGCCATTGATCTGAGAGTCAGAGACACAATCATTATTATTATTATTATTATGCAAAAGCCGAAAATTTACGTGAGGTTTGGACACCATAAACTTCTAGCTGGACCTCCATGTCCACAGCCGTTCTACAAGAGGTCATAGGCTCAAGGTGAAATTATCCTTTTTATAAAAAAAAAAATCAAATATTTGCATTTTAGGAGAATGGTAAGATGTTTAGGCACTAGGAATCAGTGAAAATTAAAGTTTTTGTTTTGCCAAAATTGGCGAGAGTTTGCCAAAATTTTGCCATGCTTTCAAGATGAAGTCAATTCATAAGGAAAATTTTTTATAATTTTTGGTGGGTTTTAAAGGTATAATGGGCTTTAAGATGTTTTTTTAAGGGTTAGAGAAGCTTCTTTCAACCGTTTTTGTAAATAAAATAAACTTTAAATAGCCCCCTCCTCCCTCAATTGCACCCCAGTATTGGTTTTTCAGCTAAAAGTGGTCTGAGGAGCAGATTCTAGATCACTTTTAGAAGCGGCGGGAGGGGTTGCCTCCCGCTTCTGCCGCTTTTTTGGTTCTTGGGCTTACCTGGATGATTGATGAGCCAGAGAACCAATCTGCGGACTATGGCGGCTGAGCATAGAGATGAGTGAAGGAAAGTTGGCCTCCACTCATCTCTATGGCCTAGGAGGACCTAACCAACGTCATTACGTCACTTCCGGTTTAGGCCTAATGTAAACAACTCCATTTTTTTTTAAAGCATTGGTTCTTTTTTTTTTTTAGTCTAATGCTTTACATTGTAGAGGAGAGATGTGGGGGTCTTATGGACCCCAGATCTCTACATAAAGAGGACCTGTCACTGCTTATTTCTATTACAAGGGATGTTTACATTACTTGTAATGGGAATAAAAGTGATCAACAAGTTTCTTTTCTAATGGGACAGTGTAAAAATAAAAAAGATGTAATAAAATAAATAAAATAAAAAAATTTAAAGCGCCCCCGTTCTCGCGTGCAGTGGCGAACACATAGGTAGGTCACACCCACATATGTAAATGGTGTTCAAACCACACGTGTGAGGTATTGACGCGAATGTCAGTGCGAAAGCAATAATTCTAGCACTAGATCTCCTCTATAACTATAAACTGGTAGCCTGTAAAAATTTTATAAGCGCCACCTATGGAGATTTTTACATACCACAGTTTGGCGCTAATCCACGAGCGCAGGGGCGGACTGACAACTCATGGGGTCCCCGGGCAATAGGGGATCATGGGGCCCCTGTGTCCTTGCCCAAACTCAAAAAAAAGCTTATGAATAAAGGTACCAGGGGCATCTCATGGGCCCCCTACTGACTCCCCGGGCAATAGGGGATCATGGGGCCCCTGTGTCCTTGCCCAAACTCAAAAAGCCTATGAAAAAGGTACCAAGGGCATCTCATGGGACCCCCTACTGACCACAGGACTTCGGGCAGTGCCCGAGTTTCCAAATGGTCAGTCCGCCCCCTGCATGAGCGTGCGCAATTTTAAAGCATGACATGACATGTTGAGTATCTGTTTACTCGGCGTAACCTCATCTTTTCATATTTTGCTTACAAAATTAGTTATATATTGTGTTTTGTTGTTTTTTAATTCATGAATGTGTATTTTTTTCCCAAAAAAACTGCATTTGAAAAATTAAGAATTGTTAAATCAGTCATTTCATGGCAAAATAAAATAAATTTTGGTGAGATCACTCTACCCATCCCTTATGCAAACACATTCATCATCTCTGTCTCTTCCCAGAAAAAAAAAATATAAAGAAAGAATAAAAAAAAAAAAATTTAAAAAAATTGCTTACCAAGATTTGTCGTGGAAATTCCCTACTGAAGGTCCAAAGGGTGTTGTAGATCGACAGAGTGATGACTTTGACATGGGATACAGATGGGTTCCCCCTATGGTTGCCCTCAAAGTTGACAACAAAAGAGGGCAACGACAGATTTGCTGAAGTCACGCCAACAAGCTGATAGGTGCAAGTTCCCATGAAGTCGTATTTTTTGCCATCAAAAGTTGTGAAGTGAGGGTCTCCTCTCGCTAGGCATGTAGAGTAGCTGACAGGTTGGCAACTGCGCACTCCATTGACGACCATACACTGCTCATTTTCTCTGCAGCTGCTTCTTTTACAGACCACCATTCCTACGGCCCGATCGCTCTTACAATGTACGTGGCATTTGTCATCGAGCCAGAATTCTTGGTTGGGTGGAAAATATGTGTTGTTGAATGGAAAGCCACAATTTGACGCGGGAACGCACTTATCGACACTTAGGACGAAATTTTTTTTGCACTGGCAGGTCTCCACGCAGCGGTGTGGACAGCGGGATGGCACACTGCGGTCTGTGCAGGTAGCTGGACAGGCGCTTCCACAAGCCTGATAATGGCTGTTTGCAGGACATGACATAGCTGTGATAAATATAATAACAAAATTAGTTTTTGAACGATTTATCCAAAACTCTAGAAGTTTTTGCCATTTTCTAAGTCATCGGTCCCCTCAAAAATATGGGTTTTTTTATTCTCATGACCAGGGGTTTTCATGCTGGAACAGAGAATTGCCTTACCCAAATGGTTACCAAAGGGTTAATGGCCTTGATGATAAGACCACACTGTTTGTCATTGCCATACGGTCTTTTCTGGCCATCATCATAAGTTGGACACAGGGGCGGACTGACCATTGGGGAACTCAGACACTGCCCTAGGACCCGGGGTCAGTAGAGGGCCGCATGAGATGTCCCTGGTACCTTTCATAGGCTTTTTTGTGTGTGATTTGAGTGTGGGCAAGGACACAGGGGCCCCATGATTCCCTATTGCTATTGAGTTGTCAGTCCGCCCCTGGTTGGACAAATGCCTTCTGGGCAATGGACAACACAGAAATGATCGTTGCCATTAACTTTCCAACTCTTGGCCCAGTCTATAATGGAGGTGACAAGAGTGGTGGTCTGCAGTCATCATCTCGTCCTCAACTTCGAGGTTAAAGTTGCCACAAAGGCCCCAAAGGGTTACCACCAGGGCTTTTTCCTCCAAGAATAGGCTCAGGAACTACCCCTTTCTGAATCACCCCTTATCTCTACCCAGTACCCACCTCTAAGCACAGTCTCTTGGTCCCACCCCCAACCCAACTCCTAGTACCGCCCATTTTAGAGAATACAGAACCAAGTATCATTTTGTGGTGCTAAGTAATTTGTAGAAAATAGCTGGACTAATTTTGGAATGGCACTCTCTGAAGGGTCCATTAATGGCCTTGATGATAAGACCACACTGTCATTGCCATATGGTCTTTTCTGGCCCATCATCACAAGTTGGACAAATGCCTTCTGGGCAATGGTCAACACAGAAACAATCGTTGTCATTAACTTTCCAACTCTTGGCCCAGTCTACAATGGAGATGACAAGAGTGTTGTCTGCGGTCATCATCTCGTCCTCAACTTCGAGGTTAAAGTTGCTGCAAAGGCCTCAAAAGGGTTACCACCATTCTCTGAGAATAGGCTCAGGAACTCCCCCTTTCTGAATCACCCCTTGTCTCTGCCCCGTACCCACCTCTAAGCACAGTCTCTTGGTCCCACCCCCTACCCACCTCCCAGTACCGCTCATTTTAGAGAATACAGAACCAAGTATCATTTTGCGGTGCTAAGTAATTTGCATAGAATTTATTAATGATCACAGAAAAGTACTAAAATAGATCCCCTGCAGCCAGCAGCAATAGACCCCCCCACCCCTGCAAAAATAGATACCCAAGAAAATATAGATCCTCCACAACAATAGGCCCCCATCAACAATAGACCCACAGCAACAATAGATCCCAAGCAACAATAGACCCCCACAGCAATAGACCCCCAGCAACAATAGACCCACAGCAACAATAGATACACAGCATTGATAGACCCCCACAACAATAGACCCCCATCAACAATACATCTCCCAGACACAATAGACCCCCAGCAACAAATAGATCTCCCAGCAACAATAGACCCCCAGCAACAAATAGATCCCCCCACAATAATAGACCCCTTCAACAACAATGATACTCCTGCAACAAAATACCAGCTCAGCAACAATAGCTCCACCCCAGCAATAATAGACTCTCAGCAGCAACAAGAGATCTCCCAGTAGCCAGCATCAATAGACCTCTCCCTCAAAATTAGATCCTTCCCAGCAACAATTGACCACCCTCATCAAGATAAGACCTGCCCAGCAACAATACATTCCCCACCAGCAACAAAAGACCTCTCAGCAGCCAGCATAAATAGACCTCTCCCTCAACATTAGATCCCTCCTGGCAACAATTGATCACTCCCATCAACATAAGACTTGCCCAGCAACAATACATTCCCCACCAGCAACAAAAGACCTCCTAGCAGCCAGGCATCCATAGACCTCTCCCTTAATATTTAGATCCCTCCTGGAAACAATTGACCCCCCCCCCAGGTAACATAAGACCTCCCCAGCAATAATACATTCCCCACCAGCAACAAAAGACCTCTCAGCAGCCAGCATCCATAGACCTCTACCTCAATATTAGATCCCTCTCAGCAACAATTGACCACCCCCATCAACATAAGACCTTCCCAGCAACAATACATTCCCCACCAGCAACAAAAGACCTCCCAGCAGCCATTATCCATAGACCTCTCCCTCAATATTAGATCCCTCCCGGCAACAATTGATCACCCCAGTAACATAAGACCTGCCCAGCAATAATACATTCCCCACCAGCATTAAAAGACCTCCCAGCAGCCAGCATCAATAGACCTCTCCCTCAACATTAGTTCCCTCCCGGCAACAATTGGCCACCCCCCATCAACATAAGACCTGCCCAGCAACAATACATTCCCCACCAGCAACAAGAGACCTCCCAGCAGCCAGCATCAATAAACCCTCCAGCACACCCCAGCACTCCTTGCCATTACATACATTCAGTACTGGAGGTGCCGGAACTGTGTTCCCACCGAAAAAAGCCCTGGTTTATATATATATATATATACAGTCAGGTCCATAAATATTGGGACATGGACACAATTCTAACATTTTTGGCTCTATACACCACCACAATGGATTTGAAATGAAACGAACAAGATGTGCTTTAACTGCAGACTGTCAGCTTGAATTTGAGGGTATTTACATCCAAATCAGGTGAACGGTGTAGGAATTACAACAGTTTGCATATGTGCCTCCAACTTGTTAAGGGACCAAAAGTAATGGGACAATTGGCTTCTCAGCTGTTCCATGGCCAGGTGTGTGTTATTCCCTCATTATCCCAATTACAATGAGCAGATAAAAGGTCCAAAGTTCATTTCAAGTGTGCAATTTGCATTCGGAATCTGTTGCTGTCAACTCTCAAGATGAGGTCCAAAGAGCTGTCACTATCAGTGAAGCAAGCCATCATTAGGCTGAAAAAAACAAAACAAACCCATCAGAGAGATAGCAAAAACATTAGGCGTGGCCAAAACAACTGTTTGGAACATTCTTAAAAAGAAGGAACGCACCGGTGAGCTCAGCAACACCAAAAGACCCGGAAGACCACGGAAAACAACTGTGGTGGATGAGCGAAGAATTCTTTCCCTGGTGAAGAAAAACACCCTTCATAACAGTTGGCCAGATCAAGAACACTCTCCAGGAGGTAGGTGTATGTGTGTCAAAGTCAACAATCAAGAGAAGACTTCACCAGAGTGAATACAGAGGGTTCACCATAAGATGGAAACCATTGGTGAGCCTCAAAAACAGGAAGGCCAGATTAGAGTTTGCCAAACGACATCTAAAAAGCCTTCACAGTTCTGGAACAACATCCTATGGAGAGAGGAGACCGACATCAACTTGTACCAGAGTGATGGGAAGAGAAGAGTATGGAGAAGGAACTGCTCATGATCCTAAGCATACCACCTTATCAGTGATCATGGTGGTGGTAGTGTCATGGCGTGGGCATGTATGGCTGCCAATGGAACTGGTTCTCTTGTATTTATTGATGATGATGTGACTGCTGACAGAAGCAGCCGGATGAATTGTGAAGTGTTTCGGGAATATTATCGGCTCATATTCAGCCAAATGCTTCACAACTCATTGGACGTCGCTTCACAGTGCAGATGGACAATGACCCAAAGCATACTGCAAAAGCAACCAAAGAGTTTTTTTAAGGGAAAGAAGTGGAATGTTATGCAATGGCCAAGTCAATCACCTGACCTGAATCCGATTGAGCATGCATTTCACTTGCTGAAGACAAAACTGCAGGGAAAATGCCCCAAGAACAAGCAGGAACTGAAGACCGTTGCAGTAGAGGCCTGGCAGAGCATCACCAGGGATGAAACCCAGCGTCTGGTGATGTCTATGCGTTCCAGACTTCAGGCTGTAATTGACTGCAAAGGATTTGCAACCAAGTATTAAAAAGTGAAAGTTTGATTTATGATTATTATTTTGTCCCATTACTTTTGGTCCTTTAACAAGTGAGAGGCACATATGCAAACTGTTGTAATTCCTACACCGTTCACCTGATTTGCATGTAAATACCCTCAAATTAAAGCTGACAGTCTGCAGTTAAAGCACATCTTGTTTGTTTCATTGCAAATCCATTGTGGTGGTGTATAGAGCCAAAAATGTTAGAATTGTATCGATGTCCCAATATTTATGGACCTGACTGTATATATATATATATATATATATATATATATATAAAATATATGTGTGTTTAAACCCCTTGGCGCTGGCGCCTCCCAGCCCTTTAAGGGTTTCAGAAGCCGGGAGGCAGGGCGGGGTTTTAGGGTCATGTGACTGCCGTGATTCGCCGTGAAGGCGGTCACATGATTGGGAAAGGTTCTGATCGAAAGAGGAGATTGGGACCTTTCCGTGAATACCAGACATGTGCACTGGCAGCGCGTAGGGCGCGCACTCTCAGCACATATGTTTTTCTTAATTGCACGCAAATGTGTGGCCGCTTGGTGTCTAGGCCCAGATGCTGGGAGGCCGGCGTGTAGAGGTTAATTTTGGAGGGTGAAGAACACGAATTCTTTGGTCTCACACATCACCTACCACATCCCGAAGGAGTTCTCCAGTCATAAACTTTAACTCCACTCTTTCTGCAGATGGTATTATAGGCACTCAAGGCCCGGCACACTACTAGTTTGGCGCCTTTATAGATGCAGGCATCATACAAACAGTTGGTGAAGAAAATAGCTGGACTAATTTTGGAATGGCACTCTCTGAAGGGTCCATTAATGGCCTTGATGATAAGACCACACTGTTTGTCATTGCCGTACGGTCTCTTCTGGCCGTCATCACAAGTTGGACAAATGCCTTCTGGGCAATGGTCAACACAGAAACGATCGTTGTCATTAACTTTCCAACTCTTGGCCCAGTCTACAACGGAGGTGACAAGAGTGTTGTCTGCAGTCATCATCTCGTCCCCAACTGTGAGGTTAAAGTTGCCGCAAAGACCCCTGGTGAGACCAAAGTAGCTGCTGGAGAGTGTGACCACCGCATACGAGTTATAGTCATAGGAAACGTAAAGACCAAAATTGGTTTGCACTAAAGCACTGAAACCACTGATGCTTGCTGAGATCTTCCCATTCAGTAAATATATTGGTAGGTTGACGACCACATCATTAACCTAAGGGAGAAAACATGGTCAACTTAGATATTTTTGTTTCATTGCATTTAAATCCCAGCTCCAGTTTTTTTTCCCTTTCTCTTACCCCTTCCTGCACCTATTTTTAACACTTTCCTTTAACATACATACCCCAATTCCTGCTGTCTTCTTCCTGGTCATGGGACAAGCTGGGTCCTTCCTATACCTCTATTGTTGGAAATGGGTGGTCCTCACTGCCCGACAGCCCTTAGGATGTGTGAGCCTTGTTTCACACAACTTTAACCCTTACCCTGGCTGTGCATAGAAGCATCTCAAGCAGATGTTTTTCCATGGGGGGGTTTGGTTTACAGGTATTGG